GTTACATGTGTAAGTTTGGCAACATGCATTTTCCACACTTTACAATCAATAAACAGTCCTTGAACTTAGTTTTATGGTTTTATTAGGGGTTGGGAAGAACTTGGATTGGTTCTAGGGGTATATGGGATGCCCAAGGAACTGCAAAACTTGAGGACAACTTCTTAGCAATGATGTACAAAAATGTGGATTAGCAACAATCTCTATTAACCTCCCTAATGGTATTCCCGAGTGTAGCTCGGGGTAAAATGTCTGTACCAAAAGCGGTAACCCCGAGCTACACTCGGAATTACCATGCAGCGCTGCATAGGGAGTTCCTGCAGCACTTACCTTGTCCTTCGCTCCCGTGATGTGTCCCCTGCAGCATCCCCAGCCATCTCCTCCGGCAGATGCCGGCATCCGGCTCCTGTGTTCCGGTCCCTGTGACGTCGGAACGTACGGGCACCGCCGGCGGCGGGAAATTTGAAAATTTAAAAAAAATTTAATTTTTTTCAAAACGATTTTTCACAGTAAAACATTGCTGTTTCAACCCATTTCACATACATTTTGTCCCGAGTGCTCTGTCCTGTCCCCTGTCTGCATTTTGAATGTTCTTTCTGCCTGGAAACTTAGAAAAGTCCACGGCGTCCAAAAAGTGTCCCTTTAGGTCAAAAGCGGTTTTAGATCAGCTAGAGAACAGTGATAGTAAATCAGAACCACTTGCAGAATTGAGTGATAATGATTCGTGGAGAAATTCGTCATCAGACACTGAAAACAATTTTGCGACTTTGCTCAGTGATGTGCGAACTTGGCGCTATATTTCAAATTTCAGTGTTTTTGGTTTGATTATATTATTGAATTACATTTATTATTATTATATTATTATTTTTTATTTATGATTATTTATTAAATTATAATTTATGATTTTGTGTTTCAAATTTTATCATACCCGGGATGTTTACTAGACTCTTGTTCGGACAGATTTCAGTGAGTTATTCCTAAATATTGGAGAGAAACAAGAAAGTGAGCGCTCCCACATCAGCAGCCAATGCACCCAAGGCAATCACAGTAAAACCTTCAGAAACACACAGAAAAATAAAGTGCGGCGCTAATAAATAAGATATAAGATCCGTAGACCCATATAGGTCTAAGATAGTCTAAACAGACACTGTGATATATAATGACTAATACTTTAAGCAAATAATGTAAAAAATAATGTCCAGGCGAATATACACGCAGGATCTTGCATAGAAGCTAGTAAGCCCAGGATCAAATGGTAAAATTGCGCACTCACCGGACGCGCTATATAAAAGCGCATTAGTAGTATGACCCCTGGAAATCCCTCATCAAGCGGGTACAGTGGTAACCATTCGGGAACAGGCGGTTCTTGGTAAAAAAGGAACAGCTTCCAAATCCAGAGATCCTCTTTAGCTTAGATGAATAGTAAGCGAGGAACTCCCTCCGGTGGCCAAAATAGATAAGGTGTCCTAAAATTGTTAGCTCCAAATAGGAGCCAAAAAACACCTCATAGTGTAGTAGGTAAAATCAAGAACATTTATTGGTAATAATAAAACAGGGCAGAAACACTTATTCAGTAAATGAAAAAAAGAGGTTGGCCTCCCCTCTGATGATGTGCTGGAGCACGAAAGGCCTTAGGAGGAGCCAGCAGAGCGTGACATCGTAGCCGCCCGGAGCCACGAGGAGGCCCGGCGGCCATATTACTTTTGGTCAGTTACACTATTTTTTTTCATTTACTGAATAAGTGTATCTGCCCTGTTTTATTATTACCAATAAATGTTCTTGATTTTACCTACTACACTATGAGGTGTTTTTTTGGCTCCTATTTGGAGCTAACAATTTTAGGACACCTTATCTATTTTGGCCACCGGAGGGAGTTCCTCGCTTACTATTCATCTAAGCTAAAGAGGATCTCTGGATTTGGAAGCTGTTCCTTTTTTACCAAGAACCGCCTGTTCCTGGATGGTTACCCACTGTACCCGCTTGATGAGGGATTTCCAGGGGTCATACTACATATGCGCTTTTATATAGCGCGTCCGGTGAGTGCGCAATTTTACCATTTGATCCTGGGCTTACTAGCTTCTATGCAAGATCCTGCGTGTATTCGCCTGGACATTATTTTTTACATTATTTGTTTAAAGTATTAGTCATTATATATCACAGTGTCTGTTTAGACTATCTGAGACCTATATGGGTCTACGGATCTTATATCTTATTTATTAGCGCCGCACTTTATTTTTCTGTGTATTCCTAAATATTACAGCCTACAATAAAAAAAACTACATATTTCCATGCAGAATAATGGTACCGCTTTCAGCACCAAAAATCTGAAATAATCATACCGCTAGGGAGGTTAAGGAGCACTGATGCCTCTTTGATGTACCTCTTCAGACTGATTCCTCCTCTTCACCCAGCTGCACTGAGGGTATCCCTGGGCTAGGGGGCCCAAGAGCTGCCATCTGAACAGTACTGGATGAGAAGCTAGTTGGATCTTGCACCGAACTACCCTCTCCCCTTATCTGGCTCAGGGATACTCACACTGTCCTTTCCTGTTAGTTTAGTGGGTTGGTGGCTGCCCTCAGGCCTTACACTGGGCTGGCTCCTTCTCTGCTGCACAAGCTGTCCTCCCCAGGAGATGTTGAGGTAGAGTAGAGATCCTCCTCTCCAGCACCCTCCCTGGGGCCCCCTCCCAAGCTCCACACTCCAGCCTTTCCCAATCCATCTTCCTCTTGACATGGCCCACTATTCCCCAGGCTCTCTGATATTTGAGGGTTGCCCTGGTCACCATGCCCAGGATCCTGCCAGGGCATTAGCCAAGGTCTCTCAAACATGCAGATCTGGGCCTCCTCCCCTCCTCCACCCCACTTCTAGAAAGTTCCTTGTGTTTCTAGAAGAGTGGGAGGGCTCCAGAATCCCTGACCTGTAGAACCTCCCTAGCCTGTCCTGAGGTGAATTCCTGCCTCACTTACAGGCTGACTCATCCCAGGCTGCTACCCAGCCTCTGTGTAAAAAAAGAAAAAGACACAAGCAGCCTATCTTAGCTAACCTGTTGGGCATTTAAACATGCCTGTCAGGGACATCACTAGCAGTAGAGAAAAGTTCCAGAGGAGTAGCGAAAGAGCAGGGCCTACACCTTTACCTCCTCAAGTGCCCTCTTAAGCTGGACTGGCCATGCTGCACTTCACCTCCCAAAGCAAGCACTCTCTTCAGCTTGTGCCTACTACCGTTGACTCTGCATTGGACTGACTGTGAGTTCTCAGTCTGGCATTTGTGTACTTTGGGCCTCAGTGTGATTACTGCTGCAGCACCACGCTACACCTACCTCACAAGTGGCCACGACTGCCTGCATTCCCCTCTAAATCTATCCATAGGAATGTGAGCTAAAAAACACTTTGAATGAGGCCTCAGGTCTGATAACTTGCAATATCTTACATTTTTGTTTTTTTTTTAGTTTACATATGATTTAAATAGCATCTTCCGGTACTTACACATATATCTAGTTATACTGCAGCCCAGGACCCTTGACCCTCTGGCATTCCTCTATGTAAATATTGACTCCCTTCAAGGTTACTAGTTCTGGCCCACTGCCCCATTACCTATGCTTCACTACTGGTTAGTGTAGCTGCTCAATACCCTTATGGACTTATATTATAGAGCAGCATCCCATAAATCATGGACAATGGACCAATTGCATTTCACTGCTTACTGTTTACCAGCCCATGCAAAGAAAAGGATCCACATGCATGGTTTTCTCACTGCACTTCAGAGCCAGTGAACTCAGAGTGGAAATAGTTGCTTTACCTCAAAAGCAGAGGGTTTTATTACCCAGTTAAGAACATTAAGTCCATTAAGTCATCCAGTCCATAGAGGTGCATCAATGGATATGAACCATACATAAAGATAACTGAAAACTGCACAAAAGTGCTGGAGAGTTTTCCTAGTCTCACTGAGTGCCAGCAATGGGGCATTCTTCTTCACACAGAAAGCAATGATAGGGTACAATTCATCCAACTGATACCAACAATGGGACACTATTCCTCACAGCGAAACCAATAATGGGACACTTTTCCTCCTACTGAAAATGATAGAACACCATTACTCCCACTGACACCAAAGATGTTGACTATTCCTCCTACTGACACCAATAATTAGGTATTTTTCCTACCACAACAATGATGGGGCACCATTTCTCCCACTGACACCAAAGATGGGGACTATTCCTTCCAGTGACACCAACAACGAGACACTATTTTTTTCTCCCATTGACCTCCAGGGCATTTTTTCTCTTACTGACCACTGATTTTGAGACTTTTTTGGTATTTCCATGATTTTTATTAGTTTATAAACATTAAAAAAAACAGGAGCAATGAGACACTCCCACTCACAGGCCATCAATTGCACATAAAAAAATAAAGAAAACAGTGCTCTAACGCCAACAGAGCAAAAGATGCGCCCACGCAGGGGCTATCAATGGCACATAAATGACAAAAACATTGGAATAACATCGAAAGTATCTCAAACCAAAGGCAGCTATCCACCTCCAAACCAAAAACAAACAGAAATAGAAAAGGAAGGAGGAGTACAAAAGGAAAGAGATGACAAGGCCATGAGCAGGGGTTTGGGAATGCCAATATTGAGCAACATCACAACCCCAGACTAGCTGGGGCTGAGACTTTTTTTTAACATAAATTGTCCACCAGCGCTGGGAAATTTTTCGACTTCTGCTGCTGAATTTCTCCAACCACTGACCCCTAACATTGAGGAATACAGACAAGAAAAGAGATATGGAGGTAAAAAAATACAGTTTTTTTCTATAGATTATGTGATGCTAGTAAAAAGGAAAGCAACTTTGATTGACTCCCCATGGCAATATGGGCCCAGAGAATGTCATATGAAATAGGGAAAATGTAAGGCAAAATGACCACACACAGTAGAAGCTTTTTGTGACATACAGGCAATTTATAACACAGAAGTAAAGCAAGGAGCCATACAAGGAAATTCATCTTCTAGCATCTTCCTGCTTTCACTAAATGAATTGGCTTGTATGTCTCACAGGTTAAACATATGGCACTGTCCTTTTTATGTTCAGCATAAAGACAATTTTTATCTTTTTTTTTGCATATAATGAGTCTGAACGGACCAGTACCGGTGACATTCCTCGGAGCTCTGATATTGCTGCAGATCTCCTTGATTTTTTGTATCTTTGAAAAGATGAAGGTATTTTGTGTTTTGCAGGATCCGTGTATAATATATATTGGATTAGACATGGCCCTATTGCAGTTGAAGCCAGTTGATCTTCCAATATGCTTCTCCTTAAACTTCTCCCAGGTCTGACCTCTGTCTGAATGTGGAAGGCAGAGGAAAATTCCACATACCAGCAAAAATGTTGTTGCTGAAGTCATCTTGTCAAGGGTGGGCTGCAAAAACATATTATTATTATTATACAAGATTTATATAGCGCCAATAGTTTGCTCAGCACTTTTCAATATAACGGGAGACAATACAGCAACAATACAGTTCAATACAAGAGGGATAGGAGGTCCCTGCTCCTTGGAACTTACAATGCAAAATAAATTGAAATCTGATTCTGGATAACTTTATTTCCCATATTAATATGGTACTTCATATAACACAGTTCTTTAAGGTCGCATTAATATAAACCTATATTATGTCACGTTATTGTGCTTTGCAGGGGCAGACTGACAACTCATTGGGCCCCCGTGCAATAGGGGATCCTGGGGCCCCTGTGCTCTTGCCCAAACTCAAAAAAGCCTATGAAAAAGGTACCAGGGGCATCTCATGGGGCCCCTACTGACCCCGGGCCCTCGGGCAGCACCCGAGTTTTCAAATGGTCAGTCCGCCCCTGGTGCTTTGTATAAAGGATACATTCACCTTTCAATAAAAAATAATAAATGCACATATTTTTACAGGTAAAAAAAAATGTGCATCGATTATTTTTTGTTTCTGGAACCTCTAAAGCAGTGTTTCTCAACCTTTTTTCAGTCAAGGCACCTTTTCAAATTATGGACAGCCCTGAGGCACCCTTTCAAATTATGGACAGTCTTGAAGCACCCTATTCTAAAATGGGGTGCCTCAAGACTGTTCATGATTTTAAATGGTCACCCCATTCTAAAATGTGAAAAACTGTTCTAATAGTTCTATTATTCTTTCAAAGCAAATACACTTTTGCACACTGGTACCGACTAGTATCCCAGTGTTTCTCTTCTCCCTCAGTTTTTATCCATCACTGAGCTAATGTGACCCCAGCACTGATGGAAAGGGGCAAGGGAGGTCAAACTGGGATGCTGTGATGGCAGCTGATATCCTCTTATCAACTGATGATGTCATTGGTTGTCAGAATGCCGGCAGCTAGAAGGTCGTAATGGTGCACAATTAAAACCTGTGGCTTTGTGTAACTAAAAGGTGGGCTTGTTCCACCTGCTGGTTTGTATACAAGTTTTCGGCAATTTTTAGACATTTTGCCAAGGCACCCCTGAAGAAGCTTCAAGGCACTCGAGGGTGCCTGGGCACCCTGGTTGAGAAAGGCTGCTGTAAAGCATTGCACCAGTGATCAGCAGATTGCCGGTACCATGCAGGACTACTGCAGACCTGTCAGTGTATCTGTGTGCCCATACATCCCATACGGGCAAGCAGATACTTACTGACAGTAAGACTCAATGAACTACCGCGGCGCATTCATTGAGGACTACATGCCGACAGCTGCAAAGGCTGTCGGAACTTGTAGTGTTATTCACAGAACGAGAACAGTCTACCTGTGTTTTTTTTTTTTATTAAATTAAAGTGGGGAGGAGTGGGGGCCTGAATATGGGTGTAACATGTTACCAAAGGTAAACTTATCCTTTAAGTCAGGATATTTTTTCCCCATGCAAGCTCAAATTAGAACATGCGTTGCTGAGGTTTTTTTGCCTTCCTCTGGATCAACTGTGGGTATAGGATTGTAACAATGTTTTTTTCCCCTTTATGGTTAAACCTGATGGACATATCTCTTTTCTCAGCCAGACAAACTATGTAACTATGTGTAACTATGTAACCCCCCTTAATTTCAGTGGCCAACCCACCAGAACACGCTGAACATCATACACGCATAAATTTTCTGTAATGCAGTGCACCACAAAACATTGTAGTGCATTTCTGTGTGTTACAGTGTGCTGCAATGCAGGTACTAGGATATACTGCATCAAGTGACACTGAAAATGAATCACACTTGAACACACTAACGCATGTATAGTGCTTTGTGGTAATTTGTGCATTACAACAATACATAGTTCTTAACCACTTGCCTACCGGTCACTTTTACCCCCTTCCTGCCCAGTCCAATTTTCAGCTTTCAGTGCTGTCGTATTTTGAATGACAATTTCGCAGTCATGCAACACTGTACCTATATGAAATTTTTATAATTTTTTTTCACACAAATAGACCTTTTTTGATGGTATTTAATCAACACTGGGTTTTTAATTTTTTTGCACTATAAACAAAAAAAGAGCAAAAATTAAAAAAAAAACTTTTTCTTTGTTTCTATTATAAAATTTTGCAGACAGGTAATTTTTCTCCTTCACTGATGTGTGTTGACGAGGCTGCACTGATAGGCAGCACTGATGGGCACTGATTGGAAGCACTGCAGGGCACTGATTAGGTGGCACGGATAGGCAGCACTGATGGGCACTGATAGGCTGCACTAATGAGGTGGCACTGATGAGGGGGCACTGGTGGGCATTTTCTGTCTTTTTAGAGAGATCTTCCTTCACCTCTAGTCTTATAGGCACAACCAATAGTAAAAGTAATTCTGGCCACCAGGGCAAATAGAGGGGGTGGCCACCCCCCCCTCCAGGCATAAACAGCAATAAAAACCAGACAGGGGTTCTAACCCATTAAATACACATTAAAGCATAATTGGTCACAAGTCTTCCTTTCCTTGTCTTCCTTCAGTCTGCTAATTAAGGGAAGGGGTTAATTGGTCACAGGTGATACAGGTCCTATATAACTTGCTGTAGAGCTCACTCTGAGCTTTCTCATTCTTGAGCTTGCCTGTATTTTGCTTGCTGGACCTTTGACTAAGTGGACATTGGATAAGTGGAGTTAAAAAACCGGAGTGGAAAACAGGAGATTATAACAGGAGTCTACCAATCTGTAAGTTACAACTGATATTTCCAATTAATATTGTAACTGGGATAATGTGTGCTAGCAGGGTGGAAGGTTTTTGTGCAGTGCACAGTGTGCTGCATGTATGCAGCAATGGAGCAACAGATGTGAGCAGGTTGCCCTTCTGGAAACTCGCGTTAGAGGAGCAAGCTACAACACTGGGCAGAACTGACAACCTTGAAAGGGGTCTTCTTCTCCCTGAGCAGGTAGCTAATGGGATTGATGTGGAGGGAGGAGGGGCTAATAAGGATTATCAGGTGGGAAGATGGGTTACTGTAATGAGAGGGAGTGGTAGGGGCTCACAGAAAAGAAAGGCCGGCCCGGGGTTTGTGTGCCCAAACAGATTTGCCAAGTTGAGTGAAGATCTGGGGGTGGCAAGCTCAGGGGTGGCAGTCCTGGATGTCACTGCTATCCCTAACAGCTGGGAGGGCAGACCATCTGGGATGGGTGGAGAGGGTAGTGCAGGAAGGCCTAGACAGCTGGTGGTAGTAGGGGATTCTAAAATCAGAAGGACTGATAGAATAATTTGTCACCAGGATCACCTCAACCAAATGGTTTGCTGTCTCCCTGGTGCCAGGGTTCGGCATGTGGGGGACCGGGTTGATAAATTACTGGGAGGGGCTGGGCATGACTGAACTGTTTTGGTCCATGTTGGAACCAATGACAAAATACATGGAAGGTGAAGGCTCCTTAAGAATCAATTTAAAGAACTAGGCTGCAAGTTGAAGGGAAGGAACTCCAATGTGATATTCTCTGAAATATTACCTGTGCCATGCGCAACTCAGGAAAGACAGAGGGAGATTAGAGAACTCAATGCATGGCTAAAGACCTGGTGTAACAGGGAAGGATTTGGGTTTCTAGAGCACTGGAATGACTTCTCGTTGGGGGTGCAGCCTATATGCTAGAGATGGTTTTCACCTAAATGGAAGTGGGTCTGCTGTGCTGGAGAGGTTTATGGGGAGGCTGGAGGAGTATTTAAACTAGGATCAAGGGGGGAGGGAGAAATAGATTATAACGGGGTAGACAGATGAGAGAGGAGTCAGTACATATTGGTGGGTGGAATGGGGAAAAATAGGGGGAAGGCTGTGGCAGATGAGAAGGTTCCCATGATACAATCAGTGGAATTGGTACCATTTTGTATGAAAATAAAAAATATGCAAAATACGTGTGAACAAGGTGTCAATTAATTAAAGTGTTTGTTCACCAATGCCAGAAGTTTGCCAAGCAAATAGGTAAGTTGGAAGCTTTGGTGCATGAAGAGAACTATGATTTAATTTGTATTGCTGAATCTTGGCTTCATTCTTCACATGACTGGTCCATTGATATTCCTGGCTATGTTCTCTTTTGGAGAGGCAGGGGAAATAGGAAAGGTGATGGTGTCTTTCTCTATGTGAGAAGCGATCTCAGAGCGAGTGTGAAAGAGGACCTAGTTGATGGAGAGTGTGATGAGGCTAGGTAGCAGTGACCATAACATGATTTCATTTATTGTTAGCTGTGAACAGCAAGCACATACAGGAAAAATAAAAAAGCTCAATTTTAAGAGAGCTAATTTTCAAAGGCTGAGAGATGCTCTGCAAGACAGACTGGGAGGGAATATTGGAATCAATGAACACAACAGACATGGGAGTTCTTCAAAAAGACTGTATGTGAACACACTGCAAAATATATTAACCATGGGCAACAAGTTCAAAAGGCTAAACATCAAACCTATGTGGCTTATGGCCAAAGTTAACCTCCTCCCGTCCGCCATATAAGAAAATGTCAGGCGCAAGGTGGTTCTCTAATTCTGGGAGGACATCAAACGATGTCCTCCCACTCTAACCACTCATGCATGCCCCCGGGGGTGTGCAGCACAGCGATCGGTGGTGCGTTGTGTCCATGGGACACCGTGGATTACCGATCAACAGAAAGAGTCAATGATGTCGGCTCTGTCATGTGATCAGCTGTGTCCAATCACAGCTGATCGTATGTAAATAAGGAAATGCCGATTATTGGCATTTCCAATACTTGGCATTTCCTTATTTACATAATACACTGACAGCTTGTAAAGAGAGGAGAGTCGGTAATCGGCATTCTTTAGAGGGGACATGTACACTGATCATCAGGGCACTGATGATCACTGTGCCCTGATGATCAGTGTAGCCCCATCAGTGCCACCTGTCAGTGCCACATCAGTGCCACATATCAGTGCCTACCAGTGCACATCAATGCCACATATCAGTGCCCATCTGAGCTGCCAATCAGTGCCGCCTAACAATGCTGCCTATAAGTGTGCATCAGTGCTGCCTATCAGTGCCAGTCAGTGCCACCTATTAGTGCTGCCTATCAGTGCCATATATGAGTGTTGCCTTTCAGTGCCCATCAGTGATGCCTGTCAATGCCCATCAGTGCCACCTACTAGTTCCTCCTCATCAGTGCCCATCAGTGATGCCTGTCAATGCCCATCAGTGCCACCTACTAGTTCCTCCTCATCAGTGCCCATCACTGCAGCCTCATTAACGCACATCAGTGAAGGAGAAAAATCACTTATTTACAAAAGTTTGATAACTAAAACTAAGACTTTTTTTCCCCCAAATTTTCAGTTGTTTTTGGTTTGTTTAGCAAAAAAATAAAAAAACCAGAGGTGATTAAATACCACCAAAAGAAAGCTCTATCTGTCTAAAAAAAAAATGATAGAAATTTCATGTGGGTACAGTGTTGCATGACCGGGCAATTGTCATTCAAAGTGCGACAGCGCTGAAAGATGAAAATTGGCATGGGCAGGAAGAGGGAATAAGTGCTCGGTAGGCAAGTAGTTAAAAAAGCTATAGATAATAAGAAAAGAGCTTTTATTAAATATAAAAATTAAGGAACGCTATCATAGTTACATAGTTACATAGTTAGTCTGGCTGAAAAAAGACACAAGTCCATCCAGTTAAAAAAAAAAAAAAAGTTATAATTCTATACCCACAGTTGATCCAGAGGATGGCAAAAAAACCCAGCAAAGCATGATCCAATTTGCTCCTGCAGGGGAAAAAAATTCCTTCCTGATCCCCCGAGAGTCAATCCGATATTTCCTGGATCAACTTTACCTATAAATGTTAGTATCCAGTTATATTCTGTGTATCTAAGAAAGAATCCAGGACTTTTTTGAAGCAATCCACTAAGCTGGCCAGAACCAACTCACTGTGAAGAAACCTTTCCGTGTTTGGAGATTACATTTCTTTTCCTCCAAACGTAAATAGTGCCCCCTTGTCCTCTGTGATGACCTCAGGGTGAATAGCTCTACACCGAGTTCACTATATGAACCACTGATGTATTTATACATGTTGATCATATGCCCCCTTAATCTCCTCATCTCAAGAGATAATAATTTCAGTTCCTCTAATCATTCCTCATAGCTGAGCTCCTCCATGCCTCTTATCAGTTTGGTTGCCCTTCTCTGTACTTTCTCCAGTTCCCCAATGTTCTGTTTGTGAATTGGTGCCCAAAACTGAACTGCATATTCCAGATGAGGTGTTACTAATGATTTGTACCGGGGTAATATGATATCTCTCTCTCTGGAGTGTATACCTCTTTTAATACAAGAGAGGGATTTTGCTCGCTTTAGAAACCGCAGCTTGGCATTGCATGCCATTATTAAGCTTGTGATCTACCAGAACTCCCAGATCCTTCTCCACCATTGATTCCCCCAGTTGTACCCCCCCTAGTATGTATTAACCATGCATATTCTTAGTCCCCAAGTGCAGAACCTTATATTTATCAATATTAAACCACATTGGTTACATAGTTGCCCAATTAAACAGTGCATTGAGATCGACTTTTAATCCCAGACCCTATATCGTTTATAAATATATTAAAAAAGTAATGGTCTCAACAATGAACCTTGGAGTACACCATTGACTACCCTAGACCATTCAGAGTATGAATCATTAACCACTACTCTATGAATATGATCTTTTAGCCAATTTTCTATCCATTTACATAAGGATTTTTCCAAGCACTTAGACTTTACTTTACACATTAGCCATGTGTGGGGAACTGTGTCAAACGCTTTTACAAAATCCAAGTATACCACGTCCACCGCCACCCCTCTGTCCAAGGTTTTGCTCACCCCCTCATAAAAAGAAATCAGATTTGTTTGACAACTTCTGTCTTTCATGAATCCATGCTGTTTGTTGCTTAAAATATTTTTTTTACAGCAAGAACTCATCTATGTGGTCTTTTATTAATCTCTCCAGCAGGGGCGGACTGACAACTCATGGGGCCCCCGGGCAATAGGGGATCATGGGGCCCCTGTGTCCTTACCTAAACTCAAAAAAGCCTATGAAAAAGATACCAGGAGCATCTCATGGGGCCCCCTACTGACCCCGGGCCCTCGGGCAGTGCCCGAGTTTTCAAATGGTCAGTCCGCCCCTGCTCTCCAGTATCTTCCCAACTATAGAAGTTAAACTAACAGGTCTATAATTACTTGGTAAATATTTTGACCCCTTTTTAAATATTGGCACCACATTGGCCTTACGCCAATCCAGTGGTACTATGCCAGTCATTAAAGGGTCCCTAAAAATTAGAAACAATGGCTTTGAAATGACAGAGCTCAATTCTTTAAGGATCCATGGGTGTATGCCATCTGTTCCAGGTGCTTTATTTACCTTTATTCTGTCTAAATATTTTTGGATCATATCAATTGTGAGCCAATGTGGATCATCTGGATCTGTGTCAATACCATGCCCATTATGGACAAGAGCTCCCCCATGCTCCTTTGTATACACAGAGCTGAAGAAGGTATTTAATAAATGTACCTTCTCTGTCCCCAGTCACCCACTCTAGATTATTTTGTGAAGGGCCTACATGCTCAGACCAGACCTTTTTACTATTAATATATTTGAAACATTTTTAAAAGTTACAAAGAATATAACAGCATATGCAAAAAGGAAATAAAGGCCTCAAAAGTTGAAAACAAACGACAGATTGCAAAAGATAACAGGACCAACCCCCAAAAATTCTTCAAATATATTAATAGTAAAAAGGTCCGATCCGAGCATGTAGGCCCTTTACAAAATAATGGTGTTAATACAAATTATGGGGTTACTTACCTTTATTGTAATGTCCTGTATCCTGTAAAGCAGGGACAGATATGCAGTGGAGTTCTGTAATAGAATAAAAGAGTAACAAAATGATCAATAGACTGGAGCTCTATTGTGAAAACTCATAGCAATATTGCCTATCAGTGCCCAATAGTCTGGATCTCTCCAGCCCTCGTGTCTGTGATGTAGATAGATATACTGAGCTGTCTTTCTGGTGCATTTTCTTAACACTAGGTTGAAATAACAAACTAAATAGGAAACTACGTGTTCAAAGCATTTGTGGTTGCTTGGCTAATTTTTGTCTCTTACTCTGTGCCTGGAACCTTGTGGTCAACTTGTTTGCTTTGATATTTTCACTGAGTCTGTATTCTATGTTTCTAAGGTGTTTATCTTTCACAAATGCCCAATGTTTTCTACCTTGAAAGAAAATGCTCACATTACCCCATGCCCCATTTTTGGAAAGTTTAGACTGAAATTGACTGCTTGGTATATTGTAAAAGTTTAGGTTGCAATGCTCAGAAGTCTCATGGGGGGTGACCAAAAAGCACCTTGTCAGGTCTCCAAAGATTTAAAACCACCAGGTGCCTACAATAGAAGGTAAACACCTCTCCAGCAGCCAGTTTAAACACCCCTTCTCTTTTCTAGTTCTGTGGTATCCAAAAACATCTTCAACAATTGACACTACCAGGCATACCTGTGTCTAATGAAGGGTCTCTTTCTCTGACCTTTATGTCTCCCCTGCAGTGACATATGAAGGAACCAGCATGCAATAGATGACACGGGTATTTAACACTCCTAGAAGTGTTGAATGCTGAAGAGGCTTTTAAAGACTGCAGCACTTGAAAGGAAGGAAGGCACAAGACAGGGGCTGCAGAAGAGATTAGTATACTTTGTCTTATTTTGTAGGGAACTGACAGGTTAAAAACTTTAGAGACCTAACAATCTCTAGAGTAGAGTAAAACTTTAAGCAAGGGGGCGCATGCGTGGCCGGCTACGAGATGGACGCGCTGTAGAGTGAGCTCCGTCCATCCGTCAGTATCGTAGCGGCACACACCAGCCCTGGAGGGGGAAATTACCTCAGCTACATCCCTGAAGCGTGCCCGCACCTCACGAGTCATGCCCCGCAGGAGGAAAAACACCGGAGCAGTCGGGGAAACTCACTTAATTCTTCCCGGCTGTCATGCCGGGAATCCAAGATGGCGCCCGCAATTCACATAAGCAGGGGGAAGGAGGCGGCCCACGAGGAGGACTACAGGGCCCAGCAAGCGGATCCGAGGCTGCAACACCAGCTATACCCAGGGGACCCTGGTGAGTTGTCACCCCCAATGTCCCCCACAACTAGCAGCCCTGCCAAATCTCGGCCACGACTTGACCAGGACCCTGACCCCTCATATCAGGCCTCAAACCTTCCTCCTCAATCACCTCAAATAAGCCTGCCTCACATAGACGCATTTCCAGCAGCGGACCAACCACTAACAGAAATATGCATGAAAAATATGCTAGCGTCACTACGTCAAACACTGCACAATGACATCTCTGCAATTAATTAATCAAATTACTAACGCAATACAACGACAAGAACACAGAATTTGCCATATTGAATCTAGCATGGGTAACATAATCACGGCTCACAATGACATGATTGACGCGCATGCAGACCACTCATCTGATATAGAACAAATCAACCTCAAGTTAGCCGACTTAGAGGATCGATCACGCCGTAACAATATTAAATTCAGAGGGATCCCTGAATCAGTTACCAACGATTCACTGCTACTTTACCTACAGCAATTCATTAAAATCCTTATTCCGTCACTCTCTGATGTAGAACTGGCGATTGATCGAGCTCACCGGTTACCTAAACCCACATTCTTGGCGGCATCTATTCCAAGAGATGTACTAGCCCGCATACATTTCTACCACGTCAAAGAGAAAATTATGACGACGGCCAGAAACCCTCCACCATTACAGCCATCCCACACAAACCTCAAATTATATGCAGACCTGTCCAAAGCCACACTTCTTAACAGGAAAAAAAGGTCTCTATTACTAAAGCTTTGAGAAACCATGGTATAGCATACCAATGGGGCTTCCCCACAAAACTAACGGTACGACAGCAAGGCAGGATCTATACTATCAAATCCCTAGCAGCAGGCTTAGACCTACTCAAAGTCTGGAATATCCTACCCGCAGACCCACAAGAAAATGCACCTGGCTCTATCCAAAATATGGAAGCATCATAACGGGCACCAGGACAATTTCTATTATCAAGCGCTTCTGCATCTCCTTCCAGAGGCCACCTTTTGATATATCAATATCTGGCG